CAGCCGCCATCGCTCATAGGAACCACTACTTCCACCTATACCGTAGCGACATGTCTGACTGCAATAGACGTCTCTTTGCCTCCGCCCGTAACGAGTGTAAGCGTGTCATCAACGATGCTAAGTCACTATTTTTCGGCTCGGATGAAGGAACATATAGCATCTCGCAAATTTGGCCCCAAAGATTATTGGCGTCTCTGCAAGAGCGTATTGAACAATTGCAAACCCTCTATACCTTCTTTATTCAACCAGTTCGATGTCCTGACCTCCTCTACCGACAAGGCTGAATGCTTTGCTCGGAAATTTTGATTCAACTCAACGCTTGACTCTTCCAATGTACCCATACCCGACTTCCCTCTTAGAACTGAGGCCATATTGAGTGGGTTAAACATAACCCCATCTTTAGTACTGGGCGTTATCTCCGATTTAGACTCCAACAAGGCTAGTGGTGGAGACGGGATACCAGCCATTGTCTTGAAGAAATGCGCGCCTGAACTGGCGCCCTCCCTTTCTAAACTATACAACTACTGCCTCAAGGAATCTTGTTTTCCTGACTGCTGGATGTCCTCTTCGATCGTTCCTGTCTTCAAGAACTCCGGCGATCCCTCTGACCCTTCCAACTACCGTCCTATCAGTCTCCTTCCCCTCTTCGGCAAAGTCTTCGAAGTCCTAATCAATACCGAGGTGGTTAACCACCTCACATCCCATAATCTGCCCTCAGACAAGCAATATGGTTTCCGCTTTGCCCGATCTACAGCTGATGTGCTTACGGCCATCACTGAAACTGTCTACCGAGCTTTTCAAAATTACGGGGAAGCCCGTGCCGTGGCACTAGACATCTCCGAAGCATTTGATAGGGTTTGGCATGCCGGCCTTCTTCGCAAGCTCCAGGGTTATGGCATTGCGGGTCGATTATATAACCTAATACAATCATTCCTGTCAAACCGAGAACTGAAGGTCGTTCTCAACGGATTCTCCTCCAGTTCCTATCCCACGAACGCAGGTGTTCCTCAAGGCTCCATCCTAGGCCCCACTATATTCCTTATCTACATAAATGACCTTCCTGACGCCATAACTTCCCAAGTTGGCATCTACGCGGATGACACCACAATTTATTCCTGCCTCAAAAACAAATCTAGTCTCACTGACAAAACTCACCTGGTCGTGTGTCTCGAAAAGGACCTCCAATTGATTGTGAACTGGGGCAAGAATTGACTGGTCAACTTCAACGCTTCTAAGACAAAACTGCTCTCTATTAACCACCACAGAGATCCGTCCCTTCTCTTCATGAAAATGTCTGACACTCAACTTCTCGAGAGCAACTCTCTGCGGCTTCTCGGTCACACGTTGACTGCTGACTTGAGATGAAATAAATACATCGAGTCAATTGCCTCGTCCACCGCAAGGAAAGTTGGCTCCCCGGAGTCGATCCTCCAGATCTACAAATCAACAATTCGCCCTTGCATGGAGTATTGCTGCCATATATGGTCTGGAGCCCCTTCTGTTTGCCTCGGTGTTCTTGATAGGCTTCAGAGGCGGATATGCAATATGGTTGGCCCTGCTCTGGCGTCTCGTCTACAGTCACTTTCTCACAGACGCGCCGTCGCCTCCCTCTGTCTGTTCTAAAAATACTTTCATGGCAATTGCTCCGAGGAGCTGCATTCGCTGGTTCCCAGACGTCATGAGTTCAAGCGTCATACGAGGCTGGCATCCCGCTCTCAGCCCTTCACTGTCGAAACTCCTAAATGTAGCCGCCTCTTCTACTCCAATAGCTTCAGGTCTCGCACCTCTCGCCTGCGGAACTCCCTTACCTATTCCTGTTTCCCTGTGAGCTATAATCTCCAGCTATTCAAGTTTAATGTCAATCGACATCTCCAGTTGCCTTGATCTATCCACTACTCTCTCCACTACTCTCTCCTCATCCTTTCTTCTATCACTCCTATCTGATCTTGCTCTAAATTTTCTGTAACCCCTTGCCTCGTAGTGGCTTCCCGCCTTGCTTGGGGCGAAATGCTTAAAAAAAAAAAAAAAAAAAATATATATATATACAAATGTGTCTATATGTATATGCATTGTATAACATTGTTTTTGAATTCGGAAGTTTTTATATATTTATTTATATTTGTTTCGTTAAATTTTAGGACTATATTTATTTATTACTTTTCCAATTCTAATTGTATATTTTATTTTTGTTTTATTATTTATTTAAGGATTTATTTTAGTCCTTTATTTTATACTTTATTGCATTTTAATTTTTTATTTAAGTACACACACACACATACACACACACACACAATATATATATATATATATATATATATATATATATATATATATATGAGTGGACATTATAACATATCGCAGATGCACAGCCCCTGAAGATGGAGCCGTGTGGGGGGTAATATGTTTTATGGTGGATGCGATATGCATATTGTCGACATTTTATATTTTTATGTTCGCGCATGCACGTTGTTTGTTTTTGATTTTGTCGACGGTACAGTATAGTAGGGTTAGTTGGGCGCCATTTTCCCCCGCCATCAATTTGGAAATGACATACTGTACTGCTTGGCACTTGCACAGAAGCTCCAACACAAACATTTTAGAGTGTCTGGGTACCAATCTGAGGACAGTTTGAATGATTCGGAAAGAGTTGGATGAGTCCAGTTGTGATTACGAAGGTATTTAAAGTGAACACTAGTGATGTCGGCGTTATGCCTACATTCGTCTTCTCACAGGGACTCAGACTCAACACATTAAGTGCCATGAAAAGGTTTTGGTGCCTTGGATCAAGAGGGGGACGGCTGGAAGTCCATATGTCTGGTAACAAGACTGCACCATGCCGCACAAGAAGAACCCAGTCATGGCTGTCAGACAATTTCTGCGACCACATCACCCCTTACATCTTACCATCTAACTCCCCAGACTGCAAACCTCTTGATTATTATGTGTGGATCGCAGTTGAGCGAGAGACCAACAAAACACTTTGTAACATCAAATATAAACTAAAGGCAAGGAATATGACAGCATTCATCAACTTAAACAAGGAGACTATCCCTAAGAGTTGGACGAGATTGCGAAGTCATCGGAAGGCCGTGGTTGAAGCCAATAGCGATTCTATTGAATAAATTTACTCTTTAGTATTTCCCGATATTATTGTGTAATTTTGGTAAATATATCTGTTAAAATAAGATGACAGTGTTATTTTCATTTTTGCGTAATTTAGACGATATTATGTATATTCGTTTATATATATATATATATATATATATATATATGTGTGTGTGTGTGTGTGTGTGTGTGTGTGTGTTTGTGTGTATATGTATGTATAATCTATTGCTTAAACATTATTTTTAATGCATACTTGAGTAGATATTTTGTTTTTATTTATTAAATAGTATATTTATTTATTTATTTCTAGCTAACAGCCTGAATATTATGAGAAACTGATGCGTTCTATGGTATGAATTGAACCTGCGTTCCCCTAAGGAAGACAGTCATTAGTTCTGGCGTGCTTTTACCTCTCGGTCACGAAGAACCTCCTGGTAGTGTTTTGTGTGATCAGAAGGTTCGAATCCTGCCAGTAAACGAAGATTACTTTTAATAAGATTAGAAATAAATAAATATGCAGAACGTCTATTTCTAAGGTTAAATTGTGATCGCTACATAACTTAAGAAAATAATGAATATATCTGGTTAACACAATGTTGGGGCAACCTGTATATTATACAGCGATTACCGTTGTTTTTTTTGGTTTTTTTTTGGTTTTTTTGGGGGGGGGTTTTGTATTTAAAATAAACGGGGATTAACATTTTTAAAGATTCTTCATTTAAAATAAACTTACATAATAACTATAAAATGATTCCCAATACACACACACACATATATATATATATATATATATATATATATATATATATATATATACATACATATATATATATATATATATATATATATATATATATATACATATATATATATATTTATATATATATATACACATTAATTTGTTTTTATATGAATATCTTTCTCTTAACTCTGATACCAATTTGTGTATATATATATATATATATATATATATATATATATATATATATATATATATATATATAAATATATATATATAAAATTGGTAGAAAAAACTCATTATTTATAAGTTTTTTCTACCAATTTGTATATATATATATATATATATATATATATATATATATATATATACAACTTGGTAAAAAAAAAACAGAATTAAGAGAAAGATATTCATATAAAAACAAACGTAATGGTCAGCTGCTATTCAGCATTTAAAGATTGCGTTTTGCATGAAACCACGAGCTAACAGGAAAAGGATAATATATATATATATATATATATATATATATATATATATATATATATATATATATATATATATATATATATTACAGTGCTATATTATTAGAGTGCTTTCATCAAATGCAGCCTTTTCAAAAAACATTTCCTAAGCTCTTTTCTCTGGTTACAAAAGTTTCTTCGAAAAACATAAGTTCTATGATAATTCTTTGTTTTCTCCTTGGTTGCAGTGAGGGAGCTATTTGAAAAGATGATAACGAGCAGGAAAAGTTAAAGTCACTCCATATATTTCCCCTGGGATTTTAGACACTTTGCTTAAATGATCGATCATCAGTTATTTTTTTGACATCTTCTTGGTTGAACAGAGAACTTTGAAGCATCGTCTTGTATATATTTGCATATAATTATCATCATATTAAAGATAATATGCACACACATGAATAAAGGCATATTAACCGGATTTATGTATTCTTTTATATGGAATGCTCAATGTAAAATGTTTGCTCAATATCATGAATATTCGATGCTAATCCATTAACACCGAAATGTATTAGATTTAAAGATAAATGCTTATGAGGTAAATACTTTTTATCGTCATGAAACTGTGTACCGGATAATGTACCTAGGTAGTTATACATACGTGTCAATATGTCTGAGAAAACTTGAGAGATTATAAAATGTTTGATACGGGTTTACAAAGACATAATCTGAAATGTCATCGGATTGCGTCGAGTGCCAGAGGCAATTTCTTCACCGTAGAGTAAAGCACTTGATTTAATAAAAGATAAAAGTCTAATATCTTCGTTGAGGTCAGCAGTCTTTCATCCTTCATTTACAATTTCAGTAATAATTCAAGTGAAAAAAAAAAAACACTCCAAAAATTCTTTAAAATAAGTTACACCCTGAGAGCAATAAAGCTACACGATTCTTTCAAATATTTTACTGGATTATTAGATTATTAAACGAATTTCAGATAAAAAGAAAAAAAAAAAACTCTGCTAAACTTTTAGAAAAAGTTATTTTAATATTTATGAGGGTGCCGTTAGATTCACGATGGCTAAGAATTTCATCAAACTCATTTCCTTGGGACGAAAATCTGCAATAATTTGGTGACTATGTCTATAGAAAATATATTTCTTAAATGTTGGAATTGTGTAAAAATTAATATAGAAACTATTTCTTTTTAGTAAAAAAAGATACTATTAAACTGTATTGAAACTTATTTTTAAAAATAGAAATTTGTTAACACTATTTCTTTAAAAAAATAATGTGTTTCAGGATGGGCACGGCTGTAGTGTTTTCAAAAACCAGCCAAATTTGAAGTAAAAATAGGTGCAGTTTGATTGGATGGTGACACTGGATTTTTTTTAACCAATGCGGATAAAATGTATAGGCCCCCTAGGGAATTGGTTTACAATTAGATTTTGATTCACGTTTTTTTCTATATAGGAGGGGAAAAGTCACAGCCACAAAGACAGAAAAGTATAGACCGGGGTAATGGGTACAACGACATGGGCAGTAGTTGCTGCTGAGATGAAGGCATTAAGCACTTGATGAAAGATCAAGTCAGAAAGTATTAAATGTTTCAGAGTTTAAAACTGCCGGTGGCTGACAAAAGACAAATAATAATAATAATAATAATAATAATAATCTAAAATCATTTTGAAAACTCAAAAATGTGGCAGTAGTTCCGGTTGTAGTTGGAGCACTCGGATTGATTGGAAAATGTTCCTATAGACTCGTTAAAGCGGTTTCTTGTAGTCGATGTCTGAAAGAAACACAAAAAATTGTACTCACAAGTTCGGCACACACATTACGAAGAGCTCTGTCTATGTAAAATGTGATTGATCTTGCTTTGTTTTTTTTACAAAAACGATCAGTGAAAAATGTCATGAAGTCATTTCTTAGGTCTCTGGTTGGGACCCGGAAGGAAATGTGTATAAAACAGAAAACAGAATATAATAAAAAATTAATTAATTAATAAACAAATAAATAAATAATGAGCATTAATGGCTGAGGAGCATCGCGTTGAATGCTGAGGCAGAAGGTCTAATTATTGCAGCTCAGGACAAAAGCCTCGCAATCAAATCACTCTCGCATAATCAAGGATGGAACTAACCCGAAATGCAGGATCTACAGAAAATCTTATGAAAATGTCGACCAGATTATCTCAGGATGTGGGGAACTGGCAAAAAATGAATATACCCACAGATATATAAAAAGGTAGCGATATGTTCACTAGAATATATGCAATAAGCACAAAATCAAAACCACTGAGAGATGGTATGACCACCAACCAGGCACAGTTACCCAAAGTAACGATGAATCAATCTTCTGGGCCATGCCAATTCAAACTGACAGGGAAATAAAAGCCAACAGATATGACATTATAATAAATGACAAGAAATTCAGGAAGTGCATGTATATTGACATAGCTCTGGGCCACGCAAGAAAAGAAATGGCATTTTTACTAACAGCGCCCCAAGTAACATCATCATACATGTTTCCCAGACGATGGCCGTACTATAAACATCCTTCAGTATCTATCTATATTTCTGTGATGAGGTATTATGTACATTATTATGGGATCAGGTTGAGATCATAGACAAGAAACACCATGGGAAAATTCGTAAACTTAAGGAATCAGCATATATGCTAGGCCACAAAAATCTCCTAAGCCGACCAAGCATAGAAATGAATACAATATAGGAACCAATAATAAGGAGTGTCAGAGAAAAGCGATAACAACAACAAAAGTTGCAATATGAGCTCTGGTAAAAAACATGCAATGATAACAGCAAAAATTACAATATGAGAACTGGTGAAAATGGTTGCTGAAGACATTAGATTTATAATACCCAGTGGATAAAGGCGTTGGTTAGAGCCAGTGAGAAGACGCAAAGAGTGTGAGTTCAATACCCGGTTTAGGCAATGGAGAACATTCAGAGGGAAAATTAACAAGAGATAACTGATAACTGACATCCATTAAACATGGCACAAGGAACTAGAACAGTTTACCCCATTGAGCGAAATAAAGTGTTCAGTTCGACATTCTAACCACCTGAAGAAGGCTGGGGCGTACAACGGCCGAAACGTTGTAATAAATATGATGACAAAGATGAGGACAATCGTCCGAATAATGTAAATAATGTATATAAACATCCTATATACTAAGAAATGTACTGTCAAATGAATTCTCCTATACGGCCTAAGGACTATAGTTTGGACAAAATACGATGCAGGAAACAGCATACCAAAAAAATAAATAAGATAATAATTTTCTAAATTTTCATAAGAATGACTTTCATAAATCCGTGAATGTTTATCTCTACATTGACGCCTATTTCTAAAATATGTATCTTCTGGAATATTCCAGGTCAACATTTGATTCACAATTGAATTTCAGCCTCCAGTTTTTGAACCAGCATCGTTTGAGTTGTGAACTTTACGAAGGAATTAAATTTCATCTGTTGCTAAGAAATTGATTTATATGAACTGTTGCTCTATAAAAAAGTTATTAAAATCCCTTTGTTAACAAGGAAGATATTTGCCTTACATGAACGTTAGCTTTCTAACTGATATGTATTTGAAAGAACTGTTCGCCTAACTTGAAAATTTGTAGCCCACAAGGGAAATTCTGTGCTAGATCTATAATGTATTTTTTCCTTTTTTTTTTTTGACATAGTGAAAAATATTTTTGCCATTGTAATAAATGCTTTTTTTCTTTGCAAATTTCGCACCAGAATAAGAATCGTATGTCTTGTTTGCGTCATCCAAAACACATGGGATAAGAGATTTAATGCTTTTTCTTCTGTAATCCCAAATAAATACTTTTGATAGATAGGCGGATGAAAAAACGAGCAAAGTTCGTATTGTCAAATTCTAATCGTGGTAAATCGAATTTTGCTATGAGTGGCAGTGGATAACAAATTAGGATTCAAGGAACTTCACGACTTTTTTCTCGCATCTATCTTTCGATGCAATTAGGATATAAAGTAAAAAGACGTACCATGTAACCTATTATCTATTGCGGGACAAGATATATAACTACAAAAATCAAATTATTCCAAACTTTTTATACAATTCTTTATCGATATAAAATCTTGAAAATATATTTCTAAAAATATAAGTAGAAAAAAATGAGATCTTTAATGTAATTTCATTTTTTTTTTTTTTTGTTTTTTCTTGCTCGGATGTCACACCCAAGTTGTACTGAAGTAAATATAAAAATATACCAATCACATATCTTTGTTTCCTCAATCGATTTCGAGTCTGTAAAAGTTATAATTACCGTTTTTATACTTGTTTTTCGACGAGTTCTTTCCGTTTGGATTTCGTCAAAAGATTTTTTCTTTCTCTCAATTAATGTTTGGCTTTCAACAACAACTTGTTCTACACCCGCCATATTCGACGCCAGACCTCCCATTTTAATTAAGCGTTTAATTGATCAACTCTTTCTGCCCGGCGTCGCACGCACATCTTAATGAGTTATATTCATCTTTGAAGAAATAGTAAAAAGAGGTGTTGATCGCTCAGTACCTTACGACATTCAGAATTCGATAAGAAGCACACGGATGCATGCAGATTAGTAACTAAAAGTCTCTGTTTAATGAATGTTTCCATGTCTCTCTGATAAAATTAAAGAGATAAACAACAATTTGAAAGATGTGTGGTACAGTTGTTTGGCACAAGGTTATATCAGTGCAGATTATGTTGAGTCCATACAATTTTCATAAAACGCATTGGAATTAATACATTGGTTATTATGTAATTGTGGTAAGGAATACCTACCAAGGTTTTATACGTGTGCATTGTACAATAGATAGTGGCTCGCAATGAGAAATCGGAGAGTCTAATTCGAATACGAGTCGAGTCCATTACATTCACTTAAGCACTAATAACCTTGGAAAAGGTTTGAATGTAACACTTTGTCGCTTCCCCAGCCATGGAATAATTTCTACTGTAGACGAGGCTCTGTAGGCTTTTTTGGCAATCGAGCTAAAAGAAGGACAACTCTGAATTCAAATACTGATGAGGGTCGTTTGGAGACCTAGTGCACAAGTCCTCTGTATTCGATTCCAATGTGGTTGGTTCTGTACAAACCTTCAGCACTGTAATCTAATCATATGTCCTCTAGTCCGGTTGTTTGTTTCTAAGAACTGAGCTAGTTATACGTAAAAAAACACGCCAGGAGAACACAGTATATATATATATATATATATATATATATATATATATATATATATACTGTGTTCTCTGGCGTTTTTTTTTTTTACGTATAACTAGCTTTTTCTTAGAAAGAGTCGAATATATATATATATATATATATATATATATATATATATATATATATATATATATATATATATATTCGACTCCCCCGTCGCATTCGACGTATAAGCGTCAAGCAGACGAGTTCCTATGAAACCGACAGCCCGACAACAGCACATGAGATTTGATTATAGTGCTGAAGGTTTCGTGCAGGACCATCCACACTTTTGAACGATCGAATACAGAGACCTGGTGTACTACATACCACAAGGTCACCAAACGACCCTCCACAGGTTTTGACTTCAGCGTTGTCCTTCTCCTAGACAAGTTGCCACCCAAGGCTATAGAACCCAGTCTGTCCTGCTATTTACCCATAGCTGGACGGATATATATATATATATATATATATATATATATATATATATATATATATACTGATATTAATGTACATGGTGACTGTGAAATTAGTAATGATCAATTGGGTGTGTGATATGAATGAAAGATGAATTTATAAGAAGTGAAGATTATGGAGACAAGGAAGATTGATAACGATTGACATTTAACTTGATATTAAAATTATAGTGTTTATTGGAGCATCAACGCGAGTGTTTGTTTCGAAATTTGAAATTTCTTTGTTCCCGTCTGAGTCGAAATGGCTTTTTTTCCTTTTCGAATATGAAGGTATTGAGGGTTATTCGATTTGATGTTTCGATGTTTGATTCGATTTCAGGTGTTTCCTAATTGCAATGGCCTCGACTAGTAGTACTAAATATCTCATTTGAATATTGGCCATAGAGCAGCGAGAGTCTTGTGACTTTGTGTCTGTGAGGAAAGAGGCTGCAGATTTGAAAATAACTCTTCCCCCAACAAGTCTGTGTAAACTATTTTGAACTTTAACAAGGCTGCATATGTGGGATTGTGTAGCTTCAACCTATATATGGGAAATCCTTTTGGCCTTGGAAATAATACAACATACTTATCTGGCCATATCGATTAGTTATAACGAATTTATTATTAGATAAGGAAATTGGATATAAAATAAGCTGCGCTTGGTATAGTTTTTCCCAACATCGCCAATTGTTACAAAACCAAAACATTAAACTAAAACCCCTAATCAGGTTCTTAAGAGTTTCGTCAGATCGAGTCTTTCATATGGATACCATGCATGATGCTAAAGTCGTTCAGGAATGTTTAAAATGTCAACTGTATACAACTGATTTCTTAGATTGGTGGTTAGAAAATGCTTCGAGAAAATGAAAAGAGGCCCATCCTTCTTCGAACTTTATTTTATGGCGCTACCGAATCGCAAACAAAAAATGCGCCAAATGACAAAAAGAACGTCACTTGAATTCTCAAAAACAGTAAAATCTAAAATAGAAAAACGACATAATCAAAATGCTGACGTTCCACAATCCTTCAAACAAAAGGTTAGGAAGGGAACTTCCATCCTTACTACAAACGGTCATAAACTCTACTGAAACTGAGAAATCTAATTTCTTAAAAAATTGTTTTAATTTAAATTTTTTACAAATTTTAACGGCATATCAAACTGCATGGTAAAATGAATGCCGAATGTTTCCTTATAAGGAAATTGCTAATATTAACATTATCGATAATCTAATCCCATCCCGGGGATTATGGAAGGGATTAAAGCTTAAATCAAGTAGCTATAACTGTAACATTTATTTGTGTTTTTACAGAAAATATGGCACAAGGCCAGAAAAGGATGAGGAAGTTTGATCTTCATCAGTCCTATATTAACTTAGCTAATCACTCATCCAAATATAATTTCACCTAATACTAAAGAAATTCTTAGTATTATTATTCAGCATTGCAGCTCAGAATTCGTTCGTTCCCAGGATGCAACATCTTCGAGTCAAATCCTGATGGTTTAAAAATAGTTCTTGGTGGCATCGTTATCCAGGAAATAGAACTATGAGGATATATATGAGAATATATTAGCACAGACTGCCAAGGAAGAGATGAATCGAGGTTATGGGGAGGTGAACAGTCAAACGGGTGTCTTCACTTTCACGACCTTCCCGTCATCTCTCTCTCTCTCTCTCTCTCTCTCTGTGTGTGTGTGTGTGTGTGTGTGTGTGTATTCGGCTGGCCGTGACCACTGTCTTATATAAAACATTTTTCTTTGTTTTGTCATTTTTTTCTAAAAAAAGTAATTTATCAGAGAGCCTCTTTCTCAGTGTTACTTGCCATGGATAATTGACTTGTCTTAGCTGATAATCATCAGGAAAATTAATGCTTGTGACAGCTCAGATGCTTCTTTAATAGAATATAGTCTGACACTGATATTGCTACAATTATTACAGTCACAATAATAATTCTCTAGGAAGTCCTAACAAGTCCCTCTATTACAGCTTGTCTGTCGGGGAGGAGAACAAAACAACAATTTTTTAAATGTTACCCCAATGCGTATTTACAGTCATAAAAAGCATATTTACAAAATTAACTAAAATAGTATCAACAGTTCCCCACGGTCCTTAACCAGTGGAACTTAATGTGAGACTGAATGATAATCCTACCACATCCTCATTCAACTACTCATTGATCACGACAAACAAATACGAAACCACACCCAAAAGACGAAAAGCATCCCGCATCCAATAAAAAAACTTAAATCACTTTTTACATAAGTTATGTCGCCTAATCAACGACGAAATGACAAGTCAATGTCAAGCAGCTGAGGTTTTGTTAAATTGAAACTAGTATCCTTCATGAGCGATCCAGAAGGAAATAAGTAGCTGAATGAAAATAAATTGCTTTTTTTGACGAAGACAACAGGACAAAGAACTATGTTAGCTATACAACTGATGAGTATCGCGAAAAAATACAGAGATATACAGTGGACCTCGGAAAACAACAGACTAGGAAGACATTCGCTAGATTGTTCACCTATCCCGTCACCTACGCCTCATCTCAGCTCCCCTTGCTTATGGCAGTATATTAAAACCTCTGAATAAAAACTTCTTTACTACTAGAAATTGTCATGTTTTACACTCGTGAGTAACGATCTGACCGAAGGGTAATTTTTAAATCATAACCATTTGACTGGAGAAACTGTATCGTATCAAGAAACCTGGTGTCTAGTTTGAGTTGCAAAGCAATATCAATATGACTTGACAGAGACGCAAAACCCTTACCCACCCTACGCGGATTTTTTCTGATGAACAAAAAACGGCTAAAATTACCATTACCATTTATATTCTAGCTGTTATTCTTTTTGCTCTTTAACCATCTCTCCTATTTCTTTTCTTTTTTCTTTCTTTGTTTACTTTTTCTTCTGTTCTTTTCTCGATACTTTTCTGTTTCTCTATTTTTTGTGTTGTTTTTGTTCACTCTACCTACGCGTCATTTTGTCTTTTTTTCTGGTTTTTCTCGTATTTTTCCCCTTTTATGTTTTCTTTTTTTTTTCAAGCTTCGTTTTCATTCGCCTCACCTGTTCTCCCTGTTGCAGTTTTTTATGTATATATATATGTACTAGTGAGCTAGACCAAATGACTTGACTCACCTTATAGTCCAGCAATAGAAGGTTAACCAATCAGAAGACGTAAAATATTCAATCCGTCGTGTATAAAGGCGGCCATTTTGTTTACTCTCTCCGAATGTCCAGTGCCAACTTGTCACGAGAAAGAACAGAAGGAAGAACTACTGAACTACGCTCTGCTACTTTTACCGAAATATCCACTGCTAACCTGAACAACGCTTCCCTACTGTCTTCGAAATATTCACTGCTAACCTCTGGATTCTATACTCAAAGACGACCGTCATCATGAACAACACTCCCCACTGGATTTGATATGATTTTTTTCGGTTTGTACAATTCTTATTCTTTTTAGTCTTCGTTTCCTTTTTTTTATCACTTGTCTTTCTTCGTTCTCTCTTTTACTTAGATTTCACTACACACCATCTTCCCTCTTCTTCTTTTCGTCTTTGTCTCCCCCTGTTTTTCTCTTTCTTTTCTCTTTCATTTTTGCTGTTTATCCCTTCTTCCTTTCTTTTCCGTTTATTCCTTTTTTCTCTTTCCATAATTCTCCTTCATTTTCTTTTTCTTCCTTTTCCTCTTTTTTCGTATCACTTTGTTGATCCCTTTCTTCTTTTTCTAATTTCTTTTTTTTTTCAATATAACACTGATATCTTCTTTTATTTCTTTTTTCTTCCTTTATTACATTTCAACTTCGGAGCTGGTTACATTCAAGCAGATATTCTTAGGAAAGGGATGGATCCATGTGTTTCCAACCGACTATGTGAACTTGTATCTAAAAATATCATTCTCAAAAAATTGTTAATTCACCTATTCTTACAATGCAAAACATTTTCAGCTTTAAATCAACCACAAAGTAAACATAAACTGTAAAAAAAATAAACAAATCAATCGACCTTTACCTTTTTCACTGTCTTTTTTTGACTGCTTCTCTTTTTTCATCCTCTTTTTTGTCCTTAATTGTATACCTTTTATTATCTCTGTGCCTTTTCAAACATATTTTTCCCGATACTGTGCTGAAAAAGCTCCCGAGAAGATACTCTCCTGATCACTACAGAAGTCATCCATTCTACATATTCATAAAACCTGCTCTTCTGACCAAATGCACTTGTAGCGAATTTTTTTTCAAAATGGACGAAAGTTGCCTTCCTGGTGCTATTATGTACCTACAGAAAAAGGTTTAGCCACCAAGCAGATTCATGTTGACATGGTTACCACATTAGAAGATGACGCTCCAGGTTTATCAACAATTTATAAGAGGGCAGCTGAATTTAAGACGGGAATGGAGAATCTTGGAAATTACTCAACGTGTGGACGCCCAGCAACTGCCACTACCGAGGAAAACATTGATCGTGAAAGATGCCAGGCGATCGAAGATACATCAAATAGCCAATGTTATTAATGTTGTTCATGATGACGGTCGTCTTCGAGTATAGAATCCAGAGGTTAGCAGTGAATATTTCGAAGAGAGTAGGAAAGCGTTGTTCAGGTTAGCAGTGGATATTTTGGTAAAAGTAGCAGAGCGTAGTTCGTCCTTCTGGTTCTCTTCGCCTGACAAGCTGGAACTGGACATTCGGGTAGGGTAAACAAAATGGCCACCTTTATACACGACAGATTGAATATTCTACATCTTCTGATTGGTTAACCTTCTATTGGTGGACTATAAAGTGAGTCAAGTCATTTGGGCTAGCTCACTAGTTACATAGTATACACAAAAAACTGCAACAATTAACATATTCCGTAAGGAAGTTGAGAATATTCTGCACAATGTACTTGGCATAAGAGAGGCGTCTGTTCGGTGGGTGTCACGTCTTTTGACGTCTGATCAAAAGCGCACCAGTGTGATCACATTACGGGAAATTTTAACATTATTTGAAGCAGATCCAGCTAGTTTGCTTGGAGACTTCCTAATCCAGGATCAGTGTTGGGTTCGTCACTTTGAACCAGAGACAAAGATACGATCCATACGGTGGAAACACCACTCCTCACCTACCCCAATGGAGGCTAAGCTCGTTTCATCTGAAGGAAACTCTTCATGCATTGTTATATATTAACTTCAAAAGGATTCCCACCATCAATGGAGAGTACTACGCCAAATTGCTGAGAGAGATATGAAAGACTATCAAGACCAAACGCCCAAGGAAACTTAAGTAAGTGATCTTGTTTCATAAGGGCAATGATTCAGCATGTACGTCCTTAGCTTCGATGGTTGCTGTGCATGACGGAGGCTTTGATGGCACGATTTAATCCTCCTGGCTTGACTATCATCTCTTCCCCAACATGAAAAAACCACATGGCTGGGAACGTGTATCGTAGTGATGATGGTGTCATATCTGATATTGATGACTTTTTTTACCAACAGGATTAACAGCCTTCTTTGAACATTTCAATGTTAGTTTACCTGGAAAGAAATTAATGCACTTATTATTAATAGTTGATATTAATCCATGCAAAATTCCACAGCTCCAGTGTCTCACTTTCATAGTAAACCTATGAATTTTTAAACCCACACCCGTTCGTCCATAGAAATATTTCATTCAATAACCATTTATCTCGAGTCCTTTGACGTGTTGTAATAAATGAACAATTGTATAAAAAGAGTCAAATTTTTCGCATCACTGTACTTGACTTTTACTTTGTTTTCAAATTATAGTCAGGTGCTTTGTACTTAACATTTAGATATTATTAAAGGAAGCATTCCAGCTTCGTATTTAAGAGTATTTGTATAATGTTTCAAAAATATATATTTGACTAAGAATGACTATTGAGTCGTATAAGGAAGATGTTTACCTTATTTTATATCCAACGTTCGACTGAATGCTGAATCATTGGTTTAGCTTTCAGTTCTTATTATAAAGTAAGTTTCTAGAAGTTTTTTTTTTTTGTTTGATTTAAATTTGTGTTTTTTATATTTCTGAGATGAGTTATTGTAATTATTTAACTTACTTACATTGTTCGGGCTAATGTCCTCAACTTTATTGTCATGTTCACGACGTTTCGACCTCTGGAGTCTACGGCGTTCTTCAGGTGATGGGAATTTCGAACTAAATTCTTTTTTTATATATTTATTCAACCCCTCCCCTCCACAAGAGGTCAAATTGTTACACAAGGTCGGTTTAATGTGGGGAGCCGAGCGCATAAAATTGCCAGTCGGTTGCGCTGGCATCGGTGCAAGCACCGATCCATCTCTCTGGTGCAATGGGAGGGCGCGACCTCTGGGTAGCTGTTCCCCACTGCTAGGAACTTCTCAGTATAATTTTCCTCAGTTGCGACTAAGCGCAATCTGCCCCAAAAAAAACAGAGACGCAACTGAGAGATGATAAATAAATGTTTTACAAACTACTCAACATTAATTTACACACTGAACGGAACTCTTTATTGCGTCCACCGGGGTAGATTGTTCCATTTCCACGTGCCATGCCATTCCCAGATATCTCAGTTATCTTTAACTTATCTCTTCAAGTTTTGTTCACGGCTTCTGTAGCCAGGTATTGAACTCACTACTTTGGATCAAGTCGCCGGATCCAACCAAAGTTTTTATCCACTGAGCCATGTGTCCTTGAGAGGACAGTTCGAAATTCCAATCAACTAAAGAAGACCGGAGCGTACAACGGCCGAAATGTCATGCACATGACAATAAAGATGAATACAATAGTCCGAACAATGTATATAATCGGAAAAGTAGTTAGGCTAAACTAGAAGGCCAATCCGCTTACTAGAAATTTTAATTTGTAAGTTAGCGTGCAACGTGTTAGAGAAGGGGTCGTTAGTTTGCTGGAATATTCGATTTTAATCGGTTTGTTAACGATATTTTCGCGACAACGACCGGCCTATGTTGTGTTCATCTGACCTTAAATGATGAACGGAACACTCACGTACATTGGGTTTTCAGTAATCATTGTCTCACCATAAAAAAACAAAAAAAAAAACCAAAATCATAGTCTTCCGGGCTGTTGTTATCATCTTCATACTTATGTAAGCCTGCGTGTCATGGACTAAACATTTAAAATGGTTCCAGCATCAATTGAGAGGACCACATCACCAACAACGAGGTCCTCTCTCAAACACATCTCCTCAGCATTGAGGCTACCACTCTTCAACGTCTCTTTCGCTGGGCGAATCATATGCCTAGAATGCGTCCCATTCGACTCCCATGCGTCAAACTGTTTGGAGAACACGCCAGTGGCAAAAGGCTACTCGAGTGTTAAAAACGACGCTTCAATTATGCGTTGAAAACATCCCTGACACGGGCTAACATCGACAATGAGACCTGGGAAACTGTTGCAGCAAATCGGCCTTCCAGGCATCGGATCATCTGAGGGGCTACCGGGGCATTTGCGTCCAATCGTCAAGAGGAATAGGATCTGCGATATGCTGAATGGAGGGCCCAGCCGCGTCCATCACCCATACTCCTCTGTAAATTCTGCTCACGACTCTTCAGGAGTAGGATGGGCCTTCACAGCCATCTCCGTCACTGCCACCTAATCTTTTAGTGTTAAAGGCTTCTACTTTAAATCATCATCATAATCACCATCAACATCATTATCATCAACATCATTATCATCATCGATAAAAAGAATACCCGCTCGGCCCGGTGGCTAGGATCAAAGTGTAGTATCTGCGCTTTGTGAGCTGCCGGGTCGAGTGTCTGTCGAACTCTCTGCTTGCAGAGAGGAACCCGGACGAAGCTCCGCCGAAGGGTATGGTTTCGTTGGGGGAGTTTGACGGAACTGGCCCGCCTCGGCGGGTTTGGATGGTTATTTATTTTTGGCTGGGCCTACGGGCTCAGAGATACCCACATTAAAAAGGCCTTGTGCCACATTCGATCCCCGTGGGTGCATTGATAAATACCATCATTATCATCATCAGTTTCATGGTTTCCAGGTTTGGTCGTACAGTCAGCGAGCAACTTAGCGACATAATTAATTCCTTTCAGATACCGAAGTTGAAAGCCACTAGTATATTCATGCATTTGGTGCCTTGGGAAAGTAGACCTGACGTGGCTCATCCCTCACCAAATCGTACCACAGCCAATTTCCTCCAAACTGAATGTTTGCTTTGGTCCTGTATACGGGATCGTTTTCCCATCGAGGGGTAACTTCCGCCCTGTTTTTTGATTTCAGTCTAGGAAGCACTCTGCCTAATGTTTTCGAGCCATCATTCCACTAGCTACACAGATTTCTTTAAATCCCATGCTACCCCATTGTACTTAATAGCCAATGTCCCTCCAAGGAGATTCATCTACCCTTAAATAATTTAAGTAATAAACATATATTTATCAAAGAAGTCTAATCATCCTTTTCACAAGAAGTTAGGTCGCTACAATTATTAAATTTTTCTTTGAAATTCCGGGTATGGATGCAACTTTTCAGAGCGGGGTTATGCAAGCTTATTATGTCTTTGTATTAGTGTTTGTTGTTTCTGTTTGATTTTAACGGACTATTAATAAAACTGCTGTTTGTCTTGATAGATGAGAAATACACGGATTTTACTTCAAACAATTTACATACATGTATATCACCATACAGATATGAGAAGCTTTAGTAAGACAACAAAATGTCACATCGTGTTCCCGACCGCCAGTTTAAATTCCCATTGAGCAGCTAATGCAAATGCCAACCCAATTCCCTGCATCCATACTCAACAACATTCAATCGGTTATGCATTCTCTTGACATGAATACGGCCATGAACTCAAAAGGTC